TTTTTTTTTTTCCTGATAATGAGTAGGTCAGTACTGGTTATATGCTAGGAACTTGTTTATCAGGCCCTTGATTGAGCTCTAGAGAATATTTGTTATCCCAAATACAAATTTGCTGTTTTGTCTTGCATTCTATCGTTATAATTTGCTGGCTGATACAGTTAATCGATTCCCTAGCTTTAAATTTGGCATAAAATTCCATAGCTTTAAACCAGGAATAAATTCTCAGTCTCAAAACTAATGTATGCAATAATTGTATTTATGGAGCTATCTTTGCTTCATTGCTTTAGCAATAATTGCCTTCCGTGAGTCAATTATTAGTTTTTTATTGGACCAAGTTCTCCAGAACTTTTAGCCTTTATGTAGGTTCTTCTCTGCCCCTCTGGTGATGGATCCTTTCTACCTTATTAATGTTCTTTTCAAACTTTTTTTTTTGGTTCCTTTTGTTTTCTAGGTATGATGTCGGACGTCTTTATGAAGCATATACTTCTTAAACTTGGTGATTTGGTGAATACTGCCCCTGCCGGTTCCGGAGAAATTAAACATGTGAGTGTTTGTTGAAGTCTGTCTCTTCTGCTAAAGTTCTTATCTACTGGGGGTTCAAATATTATGCTGAAACTGCGTCTTTGTTAGTCTTGTTTGTCAGTATAGGCAAATGTTGCTGCTCTGAAGTTGCCCTTCTGATTTTCTTTGTTGATATTCATTGTTGCCAATGCTTGTCAGTCCTGAAATTCCGGGAAATGGAGTTTTAATCAGACATCTTGTTTCGTGTGACTGACGTTACTCTTAATCATGTCATTTCATTGTGGCTTGCTTGATCTGGAATGAATGTCATTACTTCCATTACATTTGAATATCACTATCTAAACACTTTAGTTTGATCCATTATGATGTTTTGCTTCACTTGAGAGTACACATGCGCAAAAAAAATAAAAATAAAAATGGATTTCTTGTTTTTATTTGGGCGTGCAGCATGCATATTTGTAATTTTTATTGGCTACATTTTCATTAGATTTTATAGTTGTAAGTTGAGTATCAATTTTCATTTGCTAATTTTTGTGTAGCATATGTGATTGTGATTATTTTTGCAGATCAAAGAGTGCATTGGGTCTGCCGTTGCTGCCATGGGACCAGAGAAAATTCTTTCACTGATTCCAATTACCATCACTTCCAAAGATTTTTCCTGCTCAAATATTTGGTTAATACCAATTTTAAAGAAAAATATTTTTGGATCATCACTTAGGTTCTTTATGAAGCATATTGTACCTCTTGCTGCATCTTTTGAGAAAGGATCTCACAAAGGTATTTGCCAATGGCTATTGAAAGTTTTTCCCAGTAATATTGTGAATGATTGTGTGTATGTTTCTTGGTATTTTGGTATTTTGATGCTTAACCACATCAAATTGCACATTCCAATTCTGATGTCAAACGGAAAATTGGTCTCCTAAAAAGAAAAAAAAAGGAGGAATAACAGATGCTCTCCAAATTAAAACATTATTCAGTAACTGTGAATGTATAGAAACACCTGGCATATTTCTAGCTGAAGACATAAATATTAAATAATATTTATTTCAATGCACTCTCCTATAACCCTGGGGAAGCTTTCATACCCCAGTTTCATAATGGAATATAGTTGACCTTTATCTATTATATTCGTAGAATTTATAATTATGCTTCTTTTGCGACTCTATATACATCTATATCAACTTCATTTTTGAAAAATGTGCAGTGATATCTCTGTTTAGTGTTTGTACCAATAGCAGATTTTAGTGACTGCTTTGTTGATATAGTTTCACTTATATGCTGAGAACCTTGTATAACTGGAAATTAATCCTACATCTGGAATTTAAATTTTGTGCTCCTTTCCAGTTAAAAAGTCAGTAATTCGCCAAGATCTGCAGGCTTATGCCCATAGCTGTTGGGAATTGTTGCCTGCTTTTTGTCGCCAACCAAGTGATATCCATCAGAGTTTTGGAGATCTAGTCAAACTCTTAATTCCTTTCCTAAAAAAGGACTCATTCAAGCTTGCAAGTATTGCCATTAGTTTGCAGGTAGGGTTCTAAGTTTCTAACACATACAGTTTCTCTCCACTCTCTTTGCTTTGTGTAAGTTTTTATGTTCTCTTCGGTTGACATCTCTTTTTGGCTATTGTAATAACCTTATATTTTTTTTTTGTTGGTTTGTGTTTCTCTTTCAGGAACTAGTAAATGGAAATAAAAGTGCGCTTGCCTCGGCTGAGGGGTGTGTGCGGTTGGCCAAAGTTCAAAGTGCAGGAGACCTTGATGAGTTTCCAACAGGTCCATGGACAACACATGTTTATAGTAGGAAGATAGCAAGGAAAAATATTAAGGCTTTGGCTGCGTGCGCCAAAGATTTGCTTCAGGCCTTAATTGATGCCTTATTTGAGACTGAGACACCTCCAGAGACACGAGATCTTCTGAAGGTTGCCATTATTTTTGTCATTTTAAAGTAAAAAGGCTTTTCTCATCATTTCCTATTAATATTTTTCTAGATTTATGTATTGCTTGGAAAGAAGCTATCAACTAAGTTGATATGCCACATTTTTATACTTCTGTCGTTCTACAGTTTTAATACCTTGTTTCCTGGTGTCATCCTTTATGGTTATTGACCTTGTGATTTAATCATTTTTAATCCCTTCTAGTGGCATCTGAATAGTATCTATTTCCCCCTTTTTGAATATGTAGGGTGCTATTGGATGCTTGCTTTCTGTATGTGATGCTTCACTTGCAAAAGATTTATTTATTGCTTCACTGGAGAAGCTTCAGCTCCAAGATAACTTTGGTGGACTTGGAAAGATGGAGTCTGATACTGATGGTTCAATTAAAGAAAATGAGAAGAATGGTGAAATAGATGCCAAGAAATGGTATAACTAATTTCCTTTTCAATGTGATATATGCCGTTCGACATTATCATTTGCACTGTAATGCTGTTTGCATGTTATTTCGAGAATGCATATATACCTGTATGCAATGTTTTGTTCTAATTTCCATTGATGTTGTTCATTACTTATCTGTGTAGGTCTCTAATATTGGACCTTGCGTCTTGCATGGCTGAAGGGTCAGATGAAGACTTAACTAATCTGCTATTTTCTTTTATTAAGCATACTTTGCAGGTTCGCTCGTGCCCGTAATTTGAATATCTGATACTATTATTAATTATACTCTCGTGACAGTCTGTATTTTGGATACCAGGCGAGTGAAGAGGTCGGCCAGATGAAAGCCTATCAAACTCTCAGCAGAATTCTTGAGGTCTCTCTCTCTCTCTCTCTCTCTCTCTCTCTCTCTCTCTCTTTCTCTCTCTCTCTCTTTTATTTATTGTGATATGTTTTTCCTTTAGTATATATGGTGGAAGTATTAAATTTATCCCCATGCCACTTTTTCTACAGAAACATCCTTGGTTCTGTGCTTCTCAATTTGATGCGGTGATGGATGTCTTGACTGGGATGAAGTCTTCAGATAATTTTGCATTGGTTAAGAGCCGTTTTGCTTGTTTGCAGACATTGTTAATTCATGGGTTAATGGTAGGCCAGTTATTGTTTTTAGTTGGCACTTCTTTGATTCTTGGCTGATGGATCTGATAATTAAATTACTCAATAAATTCCTAGCATACTTGAAGTTCATATGTTTCGGCAGCATTTCCCCCTAATATTCATTATTTGAATCTAAATCTTTCTTACTTGCAGAGAGACATGGATGAGGAGAATACTAAGGCTTTCCTTATTCTGAATGAGATTATTGTCACGTTAAAAGATGTAAGAACTACTAACTTGAATTGATCTTCTTTAAGATGCTAGTACCTTAAGAATGACCCCAGCTTTTGTGCCTACCTCTCTCTCTCTCTCTCTCTCTCTCATTTTTTGCTATTCTATAGTTAGTAAAAATTAGCAATCCGAATATAAGACAATTTAGTGATTGTGTTGAAGTCGATATATATTAAAACGTGATTTGTTGTGATGGATCTGTTAAACATTTGTTATTTTTCCTTTGTTAATTCCAACTTCTTTTGTTTAATACCTGAATCATTTCAAGTTCAGTCCAAAGAAGAAGGCAGGAAAGTAGCTTACGATGCTTTACGTGGGTTGAGTTCCAAGTTGCGCTGCTCGTCTGATGCTTCTTCTGAAGGTCCTTACCACAAACTTTTCACCATGGTAAGTGCAGCAGATCCTATCCCCAACCTCATAGATTCACATGCTTACCTTCTCTAAATCCCCACTTATGGTCATGCAAATATTTGGAGGCATTGTTTATTTGATAAATTGCTTTATTTTATTATTATAAGTGTTCACATGCAAACCCACATCAAATTGATTTTTTTCGGGGCGTTTGCCCAGATTACAGGTTATCTTTCTGGCTCCTCTCCTCAAATAAAGAGTGGAGTGGTGTCGGCACTCTCGGTATTAGTTTACAATGATCCCAATATCTGCATTACAATGCCGGAAGTTGTACCATCTGTTATGGAGTTGTTACACAGCAAGGCAGTTGAGCTAATAAAAGTAAAGTTTCACTGCATCCACACTTGGGCACTTTTTTTAAATTTATTTGTTATTTTTGTATATAGAGATATAAATGTAAGTGCATTGGCTAATGAGGTCGTGATAAATGTTGGACAGGCTGCATTAGGTTTTGTGAAGGTATTGGTTTCATGTGTTGAAGCAAATAATTTGCAGCCTTTACTATCAGACATTGTGGATGGAATTATTCGTTGGTCATCTGTCTCCCGTCACCATTTCAAATCAAAGGTGTGTGACCTCCTTTGTTTTCTTACTTACATCTTGAATGATCAATGTTTGGAATAACAAAAAAGAAAAAAAAAAAAAAAACCTCTTCACCAAAAATGCGCTTTGAATTATTTCTTTGTTAGTTGTATTGAGGTGCTTGTTTTTATGTGGCGTCAGGTCAGTGTAATACTGGAGATCTTGATGAGGAAGTGTGGTCCTGCGAAAGTGAAGGCACTTGTGCCTGAGAAGTACAACGATTTTGTGCAGGGTGTTTATGCGGTACCTAGTCCTTTTATACTCAAATGTCTGTATTTTATAATACATGGGCTACCTTTTTGCATTTACTCCAAAAGTCCAAATCCTGTATGATTGGGTATTGAGTTTATAAACATTATCAGATAGTGGATAATTGACTTTCTCAACACCACATATAAACAACAATAACTTGAATTATCAGAAATAAACCTTTGTGGATAAGTTCTTAATGACAACTACTGTATCGACATATTGCTGCAGAATCGTCATGGGAAGGCGAGTTCTAAGGAAGCCGAACGCAAAGACTCCAAACCAGAGCCTTCTGATTCGTCTCCCAAGATGTTAGCTTCTTTGTCCGAGTTAGTTTTCTAGTTTACAAACTAACCCTTAAAATGTCACATATCAATTTCGTAAGGGTTATGCTAAAAACCTCACGGTTTGTCAGAAACTTTTTCTTTAGAGTTGATATTGTCTGATATTATATTGCAACAACCGGCTATATTCCAGGCAGCGGAAGAGAAAACGAGGCGAATCTGCAGGTGAGGGAAGACCCTGGAAAAGGAATCGGGGTGAGAATGAAAAGGGTGGCAAGGCCATTGCTATAGGCAAACGTTCTAATCAAGGCAACCGACAAAAGGGCAAATCAGACAAATTTCAAGGCAAGAAGCATAAAGACGGGGGTCACAGGACAACAGTTAATAAAAATGGTGAAAAAAGCAGCATGCCGAGACCAGCCGGAGTTTCCAAATTTGCCAAGAACAGGAATGTTGGAAGAAAGGAGAGAAAACCGGCTGCTCGTAGGGCATGAAAGAGCTGTAATTTTTGGTATCTAGCCACTGTTATTATTTTTACTGTACTATTATTGTTTTTTTTTGGGGGGCTTGAAGTACAATGTAGAGTTTTTTGTTCAATGAAGATGCAAAAGATTTTTCTTCTGATAGGTACAAAATAGATGGATGGAGAAGGGAAGAATTGGTAAAGCCAAAAGAGTATATGATGAATTTTGCACCTGGTTCCTGGTTCAATTTTACTTTGTTAAAGGCTATAGTTTGGTAGGTCTAATGGTTAGACATATGAATACCATAGTCGTATTTGGATAAATTTTGTTGGGTAGATAGTCTGTATTACTATAAGTTGGTTAGACATTTGGATAGATTTATTGGGTAGGTGTAATGGTTAGACATTTTGGAATCATAATTAATTAAAAAAAAGTAGTATGATTAATTGGTAGTGGGTATATAAAATAATATTTAAATTAAAATAAAAAAAGTTGATTTGATGTAAAAATAGAAGAAAAATGATTAGAAGTGAATAGTGAATTAAAGTTTAACTATATTAATAATATAGAGAATAATAAAATCGAGTTAAATTTAAGTTTTGATTGTTTTTATACATTAAAGTCTATCCAATCATACCCTTATAGAGTGTTAATCATGTATCAATATAAATGTCCTGTAACTTTGTTTTTTTTTTACCATCACTATTCAATTTTAATAAAATAAAAAGAGTAGGGTTAACTAGAATAACAATTGGAGTTTATAATTGAATAAATAAAACTATAAAACAAAAAGTAATGTCAGAAAAGTGTCATATTTTCAGTTTTTAGTTATATTCTAAATACAATACTTTTGTTATCATCCGGATCGGTAAACCTGCATCAAGAGATTCCAAATGACACATTAAAGGGCAGATAGTCATTGAACCGACGTAATTTCAAATACCACCCCGGTTCAGGACACAAACCGGACCGAACTACCGAAGACCGAAGTGGTCAACGACTACCGAGGTCAACGT